GGATAATGGAAAGAAACCCTAACCACCACCGTGGGGTGGTGGCTGCCGCCACCTGCCGTCGTGTCGGGTGGCGGTGTGCTACCTCGTTAAGTTTGATTCGTTTGGGGTGCTTGAAACCCTAATGGGCCTTGTAATCCCTAATTGACCCAATAAAACCCTAATGGGCTTAATGATATTCTAGTGGGTCTAATAGGCCCAATAAAGCCCTAATTGACCTAAAAGCCCCACAAATTGATAAATGGGCTAGTAATTGGGTTGGAAACCCTAATTAGGGTTTGGAAAACCCTAATGCCATGAAACCCTAATTTGGGACTTATCGGGACCGCATCGAGATTATTTAATGAATTTAATATAATAATTAATAATCCTTTGCAACCCACCTAAGTTAATATTGGACTTAATGGATTAAGTCCTTAATGGGTTAAGTAGGAAAACTTGACCCTAATCATCATTTTATGTGAAACCCTTATTTCACTTGGGCCTTGAGTTGGACCTTTCCATTGGGCTTTGGTTATTTGATTATTAATGGGCCATCGAAGAATAATCATATAGACTCTAGTATATGTTGATGGGCTTAGGGTAAGGCCCATATGAGGGTTTGGGCCCAATTTGGAAAATTGGGCCATAGATGGGCCATAGTTTGGGCCTTAATGATTATATGATATTGGGCCACTAGAATGTCAAATGTTGGACTGGAATAAATGGTTGGGCCTTTGAATAAGACCATGTATAGGCTTGGGCCCAATTTAGAAAATTGGGCCATGTGTTGGGCTTTGATTCCTAATTGACTTTGGGCCTATGGATTGGGCCTTAGGCTTGAATAAGCCAAGCTTGGGGTGATGTAGTAATTATCCAAAGAATGTACTTATGGTTATGTAGTGGAACCCAATTATTAATTGGGTGATGTTTTGATATTGACAGTTCGGGAAGCTGTCATCCAGCAGCTGGGATTGTGTCTACGAGACTTCAGCAGTGTGAGGTGAGTTACCTTCCAGTAGCGGTGGGTCTACGGCCACAATGTCTGCCCACCAGTAGGAGTTGTTAGATGATTGTCTTTGTGATAATTGTCTATGTTTGCTACTACCTATTATGTTTATGTGTTAGTATGATATGATATTATGTGGTAGTAGTAGGGGTGAAATAGTCCCCAGTTACCGGTCAACAGGACCGAAGGGGTAGGCCAGCACCCAGATATGCTAGGCAGTATGTGATTTATGTGTTTATGTTACGCTTTTATGTGGTAGTGGTAGGGGTGAAATAGTCCCCGGTTACCGATTGAAAGATACCGAAGTGGAGGCAAGCTCCCGGTTACCAGTTGAAAGATACCGAAGGGGTAGGTCGGGCACCCAGATATGCCTGACAGTGGGGTAGGTTGAGCACGTCGGTATGCTTAGCAGGGTAGGTCGGGCACCCAGATATGCCTGGAAATATGTGATTGTATGGTATGTGGTATGATGGGGGAACTCACTAAGCTTCGTGCTTACGGTTTACAGTTTTGGTTTCAGGTACTCGTTTTTAAAGGAAAGGATCTGGTTCGATCGCAGCGCATCACACTATGGTTTTCCGCACATGAGATCTTTGGGATTACACTCTGATATTGTTTTATGATAACATGTTTTGATTATTTCTACTTTGGTTTTGACATGACATGATATTATGGATGTTTCCTTATACTGTTGGTTTTATAATAACTTATTTAAAAATGAAATTTTTGGCCTTGAATTTTGGGATGTTACACATTTCAACCATACGAAAATGGATTTTGAAGAAGATGGAGTAGAATCTGATTTTTAAAGTTGTAAGAGCATGTATGGGTTAATCTTTGATCTTAACATTGGTTTGATAATGGATTATCACCATTTTTAATATATGATTCATGTTATGGTGATAATCTACAAACATCAAGATGAAAGGAAAGATTCTAGCCTTTAAAGGGCATAGAATCCAATGATGAAGAGAAAACAAACTAAAACTTGCATCAAGATGAAGAGAATGATGGAGAGAGTGGAGTCTCTTACCTTGAATTCGATTTTGAGGAATCAAAAACACCCACATATCTCATTATTTTCATGTTTTGAAGGCTGATCTTTGGTGGAAAGAGTTGGGAGAAGTAGATAGTGTTTTTAGAGAAAAGAAAGAGATAAAGTGAATTTATGTCTCTCTGGATAGACCATCTCTCTCGTCGTCTCTTTGGGACTATACTCCACCAAAATCGGCCACAAAACTCCAAATATGTGAGCTAACATGTGAAAAATTTAATGGGAAAATCTCTCCCAACGAAGTTGCTTCTAAGAACGGGTTTACTCCCTCAAAGAGACATGTAAAATCTGACCTCGGGATTTTGCATCATTGGAGAAAGGAATAAAGAGTGAAATAGAAGAGAGAGAGAGAGAGAGAGAGAGAGAGAGAGAGAGAGACAGAGAGAGAGAGAGAGAGAGAGAGAGAGAGAGATAGAGAACCTATGAACGAATTTTGGGAGAAGGGAAGGGATTAAAGAGGCTTTGAAAGTCTCATTTTCAATAAATATGGCCTCTTAATCATTTTTATAAAAATTATCTTTAGTTTTTATAAATATTCCATGTATTTTTGTAAACTTCCAAGAGTTTATTTCTTGGTTTTTATTCAAGTATTTTGTGTTTAGAAATAAGTTCATAAACTTGTATTCTCTTGAATTAAGTTATAAAAATGATAACTTATGGTTTGATTTTTATAAAATCAAATTTTATATTTCAAATAACTGAAACAAGGGTTCACATATGAATGTAGGATTAGACAATCCTTGAATTATACTTTTTGCTCATAATTCAAATTATGATATTTGGATATTATTTCCAACTTGTAATTAAATCAAATCATGATTTAATTAAATTTAGTTTGATAAGTACTTAAACTAGTTAAGCACGTCATATGTTCCGATTAATAAATTAGGATATTTAACTTACCCTTGAGTCGTGATCTATTGAACATGGTTTTGTGTTTTGTTTTGAGATTGAACTTTGGCACTTTACAACCTAGTTGGAGTATTCACATATCAATGTGACTGCTTAGTAAAAGCTAAGTTACACTACTTGTTCCGAGGGATCTATTAAGTCGCGATCTAGTTCAACATGTTGCATCTAAAGCCAAGTTATGTGCACGCATGGAATTGATAAGGTTCTAGAAGAGTACTAACCTGAGTTTTGACGGATGTCACACTTCCTGTCTTCTGAAAGACAGGGCACGAGATTGGTGGGAGGAGTGGGGCGCGTTGTTGGTGATCAGGTTGGTTATACGATTACATAGGATGATTTTGTGACCGGGTTCAGGTTTGAGTTTGCACCGGTGATTGAGGTGTAGCAGTTGGCACGAGAGTTTCAGGATCTCCGTCAGACTACTGAGACGGTGGCTGAGATCACCGAAATGTTTCGAGAGAGGGAACTTTTGGTTCCGCAGTATGTGGCGGACGAGGAGATGAAGAAGGCGAGGTATCACGAGATGTTGAGGAGCGATATTAGGTTGTTTGTGAGTCGATCCAGTTGCAAGACACTAGTAGATATGATAGAGAGGGCTAGGGAGAGGGAGATTGATCTCGAGATGGAGAGGAAGAGGAAGTCGGATGAGGCTCAGGTATCATGGGGTTCGGGAAAAAAGGCCCAAGGTTGTTGATACAAGGAGGAAGGGCCAGTAGGGCTGGGGCCGTTGTGGCAAGTGAGGCAGGATGCATGATAGGGCGTGCAGGATGGGTGATTTTGGCTGCTTCAAGTGCGGCCGGACGGGTCTTATTAGCAGGGATTGCACTGCTACCACCACCACCACCTGGTATCTAATCTGATTCTCTTTCATTACAATCAGAGGGGCCACAAGAAGGCCCATTGTCCGAATTTGGCTGCAGCAGGAGCGGTGTCAGCACCTGCTCCTGCAACTCTTCGGATTACCGGCCGCCAGGGCAAGACGGATGCGCTTGTGGTGAGGATCAGGGCTTTCTAGTTGACGGCCAAGGAGGCTCGCGCGACACTAGATGTGGTGACGGGTAAGTATCTTCTCCTTATCTTTTATTTATAATGAATTGTTGCTTATATTTATATGTTTTATTTTAGGATCGTTCCTCGTGAATGGTATTTTTGGTTTGGTGTTGTTTGATTTAGGGGCTACCCGATCCTTTGTTTCGCTTGCGGTTCTCGACTTGGGTCCTAGCTAGCATCATAGAAGAGAATCGTTAGAACCTTCCTAAGACATGAGCCTAGGGAGCATGCTCCAACGATCAAGTTAAATGGTCTATACTTTGAAATAATTTCTCTATTATGGAGAGAACCATCTTATCTTAGAACTGTATGTGAGAGGTAAAGCCAAGTGTGGAGGTCTCTTATGCGTGCCCTACATATGGTGGATGAGGCATTTTATTTATTGGGCTAGAGGAAGGGAAAACGAGCAAATAATAAGAGGGGACAATGAGAGAAAAAGGAGACCAAGCATGCTCTTGTGCATTCTCTCATTGGATGGGGATATAACTTGGTCATCAAATGAAGACGAAATTACATAAATGGTCCCTATGGTTTACCAAAAATCAAAAATTCAGTCCATAGCAAAATCCCCCGAAAATCCATAGCAAAATCCCTCGAAAATTACCACCAAATGAAAAATGGGGTTGTTAATTAGCAAATAGCAACATATGTATTTGAGTTAATTACTAATTATTTGAGTTATATTTCCACTTTTACATACCCAATAAGCGATTCAATCTTTCAATTAAAAATAAATCATAATAAAAACTTTGAAAATTGTCCTAGTCTTTTTCAAGAACTTTATAATCTTAAAAGCCTTTTAAATTATGGGGTATTCTTGTAATTATATCTTTAAAGTAAGTTGTAAAAAATTATATGAAATCTAAGGTATTGTTGTAATTTTTTATAATGTTATCCTTCCTAATTTGTACATCTTTTGCGAAATGAAGGACCATAATCCTTGTGTGTATTTCTAGAGTTAGAAGATACCTCATTAAATGTAATACAAATTATTACCCATCATTTTTCACTACACTCTGGACGAGGGGTAGGATACCTACTCTTATCAGTACAATAGTCATATTTCATATACTTTTTCCTTACATCTTCTAATGATTTCAGTTGTTGGGGGTTCAATTGCCAATATTTTTTATTGTTCCACCAATACTTTTGAGAAGCACAATCCTTATTAGGACTATTAGGCATCGAGATGCACCCATCAATGTTAAAATCTTGGAAATTGACGTGGAATGGTGCATTTGAATAATTGACCTTTGTTTTTCCACCATCAGTAGCCCAACTTGATCCATCCCAGAAGCTCGTAATCACTTGCAATGTATGATTAGGGTACCCAACACCTCTAATTATGTTGTTCTTATATACTCTTATTGGTGTGTCATCTACAAAGAACCTGAAATGAATATAAAATGTAACCATTAGTAAATATATTTGTTTATAAATTGATGGTTTTCTTTTCTTGATCATTGGACACAATCAAGCTAACAAAACCTATAAATTTTGATATCAATATGATGTATGTAATTTCCGATAAAAGAAGATACACGCGTACACAACTTGATGGTCGTTCCATAACAATTTGTAGTAATGGAAATCCGCACCAGGATCGAACCAAAGACTGAATTTTTGCTCTCTACCACCGAGACCATTTGTAAATACGTTCGTTTGTAAAATGACTGGTTTGCCCGGCCGATTTCCCAAGAACTCAAAGTCCATTTCTTCGTGAACAGATTTATTTAGAAATAACTACATTAACTCAACATAATGAGAAGCATACTACCAGATACATAAATCATTGATCTTTAAGGTTTGTTATATATATAATATATATTATATATTATATATATATATATATATATATATATATATATATATATATATATATATGAACTATGAAGACAAGTTTAAAGCATTTGTACACACATAAAAAGCAGTAACAATACCACCGGAATCTTTAGTCGGTAGCTTAATCTTCATTTGAAAGCATCCCGATCCAAAATATAATTTTGACCCAAATCCAGCACCTACAAATAAATTTATAAGTACATGTTACTAGTGTAGATATGAGTAAAAGTGTAGATATGCATGTGTATTTTTTAGGTCAATGATTTAACTATATGACATTTTAATGCGAATTTGAATATATTCACATATGAATCACATTGGTCGCTCACCTATGAATGACAAGAATGCAAGTGTAAAAGTTGGATGGAGTGATCTTGATAATGACCAAATTCTTAAATTTGTTATGTTTATATATCGATATAAATGTCTATTCGTAGATCATGGAATTTATGTATTTTGGTATATATATTTTTTCCGATAAAAATAAAGCTCTAAAAAATATAAAAAAAATGCATAAATCAAAGGATTAACATTATTTTAGGAAATGTGTATTTGTTACGTCGAAGTCGAAGTCGAAGTGTCTTATCTTTTCTAATGACATATGGTCATACATTTTTCTTAATATCGAAAAACAAATCCCATATCTATGATTAGCCTTAAAATTTTAGTTAAAAAGACCTGATCGATTTATTAGTTCCTTAAAAGTTATAGTTTGTATGGTACGTAACTTAGAAAACAAGTCATGTTAAAAAAATCCTCAAAATTGTGAGCAAACCAAACAACTCCATCATAATCCTTGAATCAAATTCATCTATATAGTCATAAAATAATGATCCTACTAAACAAACTCATCAAATTAAAATTGGAGTTAATTTGTCATATATATATATATATATATATATATATATATATATAGATATATATATATATATATATATATATATATAATATATATATATATATATATATATAATATATATATATATATTATATATATATATATATATATATATAAATTCTCATTTGAGTATTTGAAAACCAGAATAATATGGTTATGTAAAATTATTATTATTTTTGTTAGTGATAAAACAAATTTAATATAGAATCTAAATAATTACTTTGAAAAAACAAGTAAAAATTATTCATTCAGAAAAAATACAATTTAGTAGAAAACCTGAGGATTTATCCAATGACAACTGAACCTCTCGCCCTTGATTAAGAAGTTGAACATGCTGATTTCCCCAAATTATCTTATAATTTTCATCAAAGCTAGCATTCTGTGTTGCATCACTAACTCTAAGCAAGAAAATTACTTCAGACAAAATGACCATCATCTTCGTTACCATCCGTAGATGAAGACCCATTTGATCGTTGCAAAAAAATTATGATTATTGCTAAAAAATAACCCGGACAAATTAAGTTGGTTGTGTCTAGGTATAAGTATAATGTACAAAGACATCCAACAAATCAATATATGCTTGTGTGTAGGTATTAAAATACGAATGAGAATATTTATACATGATATTCTTTTTGCATTTTCTACAAGATATTTGGTTTTAATATCCTCATGCCCACAATCCATAATATAATTAGTTAATTACATCATGTCGGATAAATTAGTTTATATAAATATTTAATAACTGTACATAAAATCATTTGTTTAATTGTAAATTTGTTAACATTGACCTATAAATATTTAATTAAAATATGTTTCATATACATATAAATAATAATATTGCTTTTAGAAGTGACATTAATATTAAATAGTTATCATTACCAAATATATTTTTTCTAATCCATTTTCTTGACATGGCCCAGAGATTAATAAACACATGCGTTTTCATTTGTTTCAATCAATAAAATTATTTATTACCCATTTTCTTTAACATGTCTCAATTCATTTTATTCTTTATTTTAATATCAAATTTGTTTATTTTGACTATGTAAAAATAGGTTCCCATTTCGCCCATCTAGCAACCCGCTTTGCAATTATAGTGGAGAAGATTTACAAGTAGCCTATAAGGTAGTGATTTACCGGTAACTAGGCATGCACAAAAAAACCGGTTCAAGATCCGAACCGGTCAAAGAACCGGTAAACCAGTTTACGCTGAACCGGTCCACAGTGAACCGAACCGGTTTGAGAACCGAACCACCGGTTTACACCCGTTCGAGATTTTAGTCGTTGAAACCGGTTTAGAACCGGTTTATATCGTGTGAACCGGTTTGGAACCGGTATGGAACCGAACCGAACCGGTTTAGAACCGGTGTAACCGGTTTAGATAGGTTCGACTAATTTTTTGAGTGAACCGGTTTGAACCGAACCGGTTTGAGGCTGAACCGGTTTTGCTTGGCTAGGGAGTGAACCGAACCGGTTCGGTTTGAAAAATGAACCGGTTTGTGCATGCCTACCGGTAACCCATAAGGTAGTTGATGGGCTAAAAAGCTCAACTCCATGCCATGCGGTCAACATCCAACAGTTCTCTCCTAACCAACGAATGAGTGTCAAACACCTCCTAATAACCCACACAATGTAAAACTTAAGACTACCTTCTAAAAATAGAAATTTGACCAAAAGTCAACCCATACCAAAAGTTAACGATCAAAGTCAAAGTCAACAACCAATATTGTCCACCATTGAGTCTCATGTCATGACCGACCCTTGTTACGTCGTGAGAGCACACTCAGCCTGATTCCAACTCAACCAATATCAAAAATGGTTTGAGAAATTTAACATGTTTTATTTAGAAATTGTCTTGTGAAAATAAAACTAGTGACTATTGATAAATTCCGTTACGACGTATTATTTCGAACTAAAAACGGTTCGTGATATCTAGCAAATAACGTCATTCAAATGCGAAATTTAATTATTATTTCAACGCGTCTTCGGTTTATAAGTAATTTAATTTCTATATTCAAACTTGTGCCTAATAGTTGTGAGGGATCGGAATTTGACAATTATACGAACCAAAACAACGGAACGTGGTTAACGGTATTTTTCAAGCAGTTAAATATCACAAAATTATATCTTGGTCAATCAATCTTATATTTAATTTATGAAAATATAAAATAGATTATTATGAGGCATAATTAGAATGTACCTAAATGTTTATAAATAAAAGAATCAAATATAAACATTAAATTTCCAATACATAAAAACTACAATGCTATTTTATATGTGGACTATGTCTATATATATATAATATTATATATATATATATATATATATATATATATATATATATATATATATATATATATATATATATATTGATGCAATAGGAATGATCACATCAAATGTTACTAAAGATTAGTTTTATCCTCCTTCCTCTTCTCTTATAAATCTCGAGCTCTCCTCACTCTCATTTCTTCCTTCCTTTTTCCAGAAAACTCTCTCAAGAAAAGCTCTCAAACATCATCATTTTTCATCCCCACACACCCCTTCGAAACCCACTAAAACCGAGAGCAAGAAGGGGGTTGCTGCCCCTCGGTTTTCAACCACCATTTCAGCCCTTTGTACCTTCTTTTTGCTTGGTATATTCACCTCAAATCACCTCTTAAAGTTAGTGGTTTTTATGCTCCAAAATGGGTACTCAGAACAGTAGCTAAACCACTCATTTTCTTGCTTCTTTGTTGTAAATTTCGAGACAGCAACCACCCAAAACAGTGGTTGTTTTCAAGCATCAAAACAACCCACAAAAGTCTTCCATTTTGTTGTCCATTTTTAGTATCATAGAAACCCATAAATTTTTGTTTTCAATTACTTTAAACCCCAAACAAGTTTACCTTTCATCCTTCAAAAAGCTTGTGTTTCAACCTCCTTTTGGCAACATACTTTGAATCGAAGCAAAAACTAGGTAATTTCTTGATTTTACTCTTTCCTTTTGTCATAAAACTCACTTGTTTAAGTGAGTTAAGGCTTGATAAAAGTCTAGATTATTTGAAAATATATGTCTGTATGTGTTAAGGCATCCCAAAAAGTACTCAAATCTTAAGCTTGGGTGGAACCGGAAACCTCACGAATCCTTCTCAAACCGAATAACTTCACGCGACAAAAGTGAGTATCTACGACCCCATTTTATTGTTTTTAAACATTTTCGGGGGGGGGGGGGGGGGGGGGGGGGGGAGGGGGTACCCATAAAAGTAGATTTAATCTTAAAGTAGACTATTTAATATATATATATATATATCTATATAGATATATCATATCTATAGATATATATATATATATAATTAAATAGTATACTTTTAGATTAAATCTACTTTTTATGGGACCCCCTCCCGCCCCCCCCCACGTATAGAGAAGGATATCGATATATTAGTAGATCTATATGAATATATAGATATATTATTAATTAAACTATATATTAAAAGTAGATTTAAGATAAATCTACTTTTAAAATATATATATATATATCTATATATATATATATATATATATATCTATATTTATATATATTTGATGTATATTGGTGTTGTGGTAATGTGTTTTACATGAAAACTTTTGTGTCAAATAATACTCTTAATTATAGTTAGTGCATGAAAAAAACCCAAATATGTCATGAAAACTTATGATCTTAAATCAAACATTTCATAAAAACTTACAAGTGATTATAAGTGTTTAAGTACATAAATAAAGACTTGTTGTAGATAAGAGAAACACAACTTATGATATTGTTTCATTTACACACTTTAGGGACATAAAGATGTTAATTATAATAAGTTGTGCATAAAATGACCATATCAAAAGTCTTATGGTATAAATGATTAGAAATGTGTTGGTTACTTAGAGTTGGGGTGCTGTCAAAATTTGGATAGGAAACAATTTTGATTTACTTTAAAATTAATTGAACTTTTAAAACAACTTTACGAATATAAACAATTGGGAATTGTAACTAAAACGTGGGATTGTTGTGGAAGTTTCTCATTCATCAAAGTAAGACACCAACTTAGTGAAGTCCTCTATAAAAAAAATTAATCTTTTGTGAGCGAAAAATGTGTGTATAGATCTATACGGGGATACACCCCCGTCTGAGGTTACTAGCTACAACTATCGTTTGTCGAAACAAAATTTGACGACAACTTCTTGTTTTTATTTTACTCTTTTTATCATGACGTCGATGAAGCTTCATTAGGACACCAAGCACCAAACTTTTTTCATTGTGCTTCACGGAGGCAGGTTCAAGTCATATAGTTCGGTTATTGTTCCACAAATCACGGATACAAAAATACTAATACAGACTAAGATAAGGTTGTTTGTATTATAAGGATTCACATGTAGAATGTTAAACAAATTGTTAGTGTTTATTTATATAAAATAAACACTTAATATTTAAGTTCACGATAATATATTAACTTTTACTTATTTATTATAAGTAAATTAACATGAATACTTTTATTGGATTACAAGTATCGGGTATCACATGAATCATATCGGTAACATTGTTGGCTATGTTTTTGCACAAACGTTTCTGTTTAAACATTCTATGTTTTATAAAGATTTCTTTTTATAAAACTCACGGAGTCAAAACCTGTGGAACTCACCAAAAAATTTTGTTCATGTATTTTAAAATTTGTATTCTCGGGTAACTAAGAAGCCGGAGGTAGGACATCGGTTCTAAGGAAATTATATTTCCTCTCTTTTGCGATAAACTTGATATGTTTTATACTATCGTTGTGTGTTTGAATTATGATGATGTAATTTCGTTTCCAAACTTAAAAGTTTGTAATATATTGATTTAAATATGTTAAGTGTTCAATATATGTGGTTTACTGTGATCCAATTGTAACGTCACCACCCTGGCGTTTCCGTCGTCGGTCGGGGTGTGACAGATTGATATCAGAGTTATAGACTATAGAGAACTTAGTATCTTCTTTTTAATAAAAATACAACTGTAGTCTATGGCTTGCTCTAGTACGTCTAGGTATATCCTTACTCTACAATAATATTAAAACTAAAACTTTTTGACCCAAAAATTTTATAGGAATCTAATAAAATTAAATAAACTTAAACACAAGGATTTAAATCAAATACTCAATTAGGTTTCATAAGACATAGGTCATGCCACAATTAAACCTAGCTTGTGCACCTAAGTTTTATTTTGGTCGGGCCTCATGCATCATCCAACTTAAACCAAGTAGTTGATAAACTAAAATCTTGGTGATTTAAGAGACTTAAAATACGATCACAAATCAATAAATATAAATAATTAAAATGTTCTTTAATATGTGTATAAAATAGCGTAACATATTTGAGATACTAAAATACTTGAAAGTTCTTCGTTTAGATGGATGATTTATGGAGAGCAATCATGCCACCAGCAGACGAGCCTATGTTTCATGTGCTACCAGGAGACCTTTACTACCC